CTGTATTTCTGAGTGTTTTACGTGCTGCAGAACAGGAACCTGCTGTAAAACAGCAATTATGCTGAGTCAGGCTTGATTTTTAATAATCTTTTCCTATTAAATAAATAACTTGTGCGAGTGATTAAACATGCACAAAAAAACAAGAAAGATAATTAATAGTAAAAGTTACAGAGTTAACTTTCTAAAGCTGCGAGTAGCCACCATCTTGAAATCAAAACTGCATTTTTTCCCACTATATGAGTGGAATATTACCACTGGAGGTGGCGTTCCAGTTTAAATCTACCAATGGGAACAGGGAAATTACCACTTCCCAGGACTACTGGAACACACCAGTACCCAACCCACATACTCAGCTCTACTGCTCATCCCATAAATGCCTGTTCCTTACAAATGTGGCATCATTTGAAAGGGAAATTAACAGGCTTTCCAACAGTATAACATTTATTGCCAAGAAGCTTTGTTACAACAAAGAAATAATATATTACACAAATTTCCTTACGTTTTCTGCTAAGTTAGAGTATTTGTTTTAGCTGCGTTTCTAATGGCTTCCTTTGAATTTGCCCACAGGTTGCCTGTTTTCAACGAGGAGGACAGACAGCTGGTTAAAGGGACGTACGACTTCTTTGCTATGAGCCACTTCAGCTCCAAGCTTGTGACTCATGCCAAGGAGGACTCGTAAGCTGAAAAACATGTTTTTTTACTCTTATTTACAAGCCACGCACAGTTTAAACAAATGAAGAGCAGCACTAAACCTCTGTGTTTGTTCACCGCCTCACATCTGCAGATACACCTACACAGCAACGCTTGAGGTCCAGCACATGATCGACACCACGTGGATCATGTCTCCGAGGCCCGTGGTGCCCTGGGGTCTGAGGAAAGCGCTCAACTGGGTAAAAACCCAGAACCGTGTTCAAATGAACTGTTTCACTGTAGTTACTTTCTTCTGAATCTGACTTTGCTGTCACTGCGAAAGGTGAAGGAGCGCTACAGCGACGTGCCGATCTACGTGATGGCCAACGGGGTCCAGGAAGACCCGGCCCGTTTCAAAGACAGCCTGCGAGTGTACTACCTGTACAACTACATAAACGAGGCGCTTAAAGGTGAGTCTGAGAGAAAAAACGGTTGTAGCTGCTGCCCTTTAAAGGCCACTGAACCTTTTTTCCCCTCACTGGCCTCTGTGGAGTTTAATATTTAGACAATATTTAGGTTACTGACCCCGGATAAGTCAGCTGACTCAGAACACAAATACTTGCAGAAATAGCTTTGAATTGCTGAGTCATAGCTGCTTGTTGTCTCCTTAACTGTCCTTGTAGGAGAGGGGTGACACAGTCAAAAGACTCTGGTACTTTAATGCCACTAGATGGCGCCAATGTACACAGAACTACACACTACTTCAGCACCATTAAAACAGTACCACACACTCACTGGAAAAAAAAAAGATTTTTAGGTGTAGTAACATTTATTTAATTATTCTTTTAAATTTTACAAAAAATATCAAAATTTCTAAACTACTAGAATTTACTAAATAAACAATATGCATTATATCATTTATCAATATTACTGTACAAAAAAGTAAATGCTAATATTATTTTACCAGTAATATTTAAGTGCTTTTTCTGGACAGCACATAAACATGAATATATTAAGTAACTTCTACTCTTCTGGACTAAAACTGAGGATGCATGCACACAAATACTTCTGCTCCTCATTCCCTTGTTTCACTTTTCAAGGAGAGGACAAGACATGGTGGAAATAAAACATAAGTTGTCTGGTTTCATTTGCTTGAATACATTTGTTGGTGTGCAATAGTTTGATGGCGTAATGTAGGTCATATTTAGTTGTCAGGGAACAGGGAATGCATATTGTAGCATTCTGCTGTGTTTGRCTGTTTGTCATGTGACTGCAGTGGAGGATTGTGGGTAGGATTCATGTTTGTTGTTCTTAAATCATTTTAGGGAATTGGTCAACATTGTTCTTTCAGCAATTAGTCTGTTGTGTTACTCTAATTTGTGTGTTCATTATTTGTTAACTTGTGTTAAACCGTTCAGCAGAAGTAACCATAAGTGAGAGTGGTAGGCCTAGTCATTAATAAGACCTGTGAGTTTCACTTTGTCTGTGTTGTTCATGAAGAAGAATCCAATAAATGTTTTTAAAAACTGCCACCTGGTGGTGAAGTCTTGAACTACAACAAGAGCTACACCTCTCTTTGCAGCTGTGAGGTGTCATGCTACAATATTGTGCTTGACACATGTGCACTGTTATAAATAACTTGTAAGATTTACTAGGAAAAATCCTCGTAACAGTTTGCACTTACTTTTTTAAGTAAATTTAAATGATACAAATTCATGTAATACTGTATTTACTCATTATCTAGTAAAAGTTATTAAAATAGTTAAAGATTTGTGAATAAATCAGGTAAATTTTACTTTATTTGATAAAGTATATGTTACAAGATTTAATTGAGCAAATTAAGTGAAATTTACCTGATTTATTCTCAAATCTTTAACTATATCCTTCGTAACTTTTACTAGATAATGATGAGCAAATATTATAAGAATTTGTAGCATTTAAATTTACTTAACAAAAGTAAGTGCAAATTGTTACGAGAATTTTCCTAGTAAATCTTACAAGTTCTTTTTTACAGTGTTGTTTCCCCTCTTCCATCCGCAGCGCACACTTTGGACGGCGTGAACCTCAAAGGTTACTTCGCCTACGCCCTGAACGACCAAAGAGACCCAGGCTTTGGTTTGTACGGCCAAGTTCACGAAGAGCTCATCGTCAAGGCCTCCCTGTCCAACTATCGCAACATCATCCAACATAACGGCTTCCCCATTCAAGGGGCCGCGCCGCAACAGTGTCCCGCTTCTCCCCAATCCTGCCTGGGCTGCCATGTTCTGGACAAGAGGCCCGTGGTGGGCTTCCTGTCACTGGTGGGTTCAGGGGTGCTGATCACCCTGGGCCTCATTATTTATTACACAGCCAAGAGAAACAAGGAGTATTACTGAGAAAAAAGGGATAAAGACTGGAAAGAAACTGCTTAATTGGAAGTCTTGTCTGAAGCCTCGTCAGCTTCATGTTTTAGGTGTTAGAAGTGTTTTTAAATGTTCGCTGAATGTTCAGAGTTAACTTGTGAGACAAGTTACAAACACCACTTGGTATTATAAAGTACCTGAATCACAAACAAACTGTACAAATGTTTTTGATTTGCCCATGCAGTCGGATCAAGAGGTGTAACAAAAACCGACTAAAAACTTTCAGCACAAAGAATGAGACTGGAAAAAACTTTAAAAAACATTTAAAGTATGTACAAATCATTCAGTTATCATCTGTTTGTTTTCTAGATTGTGGCCTAATTCACATTTTTTTTCCACTTATGTGGCTTTCATCAATCATTTATTAATTTGAGTACTTTTATCTAGAATATTTCAAACTTCCTATCATATTCTCTGTCGTCTCCAGCTGAATTTAATAAGTTTATAATGTAGTTCTAAGGGTTGGGTTTGGGACCCTATAAGGAGTCACCCAACACTAATCAGGAGCCCCTTAGATCAGGGGTTGGGTCTGGGGACTCCTTACAAGGGCAAAAAAATAAATAAATAAAATCCAGGGACCCCCTCATAAACCCCAAGCTGTTAATAGTTAATTTATTGTCATTTCAACCCCTAAATGCCATGAGAATATGTATATTTATTAAGTTTATTATGTTTGTTTTATTAGTTCATTGTTCTCCATGCATTTTTAAAAATAAAAACCAAATTAACAACTTAGTGAAAGTTTTTGAGGACCCCCAAGATACCTCTCGCGGATCCCTGGGACCCCAGTTTGAGAACCTCTGCCTTAGATAATCTAAAGATATGAACGGTTATATTTTATTTTCACGTTAAAGAATTTAAAAAACAGTCATTAATTGACAAAAATAGTACTGTGAACGTTTAGATTGTCACAATTATGGCCTTTTTAATAGGGCAAGTAACATTTTTTTTGTATATTTAAAGGAGACATGCTTTTAAATCTTTTTTCCCATTTAAATCATTCAGTTGTTTTTTTTTTTTAAAAGACCCTACATTTTAGAGACAACTAGTGAAATTTTTAAGGACAACTATGCTGAAGATGGAATTTTAAAAAATCAATTTTTTTTGGCTCCACAAGCCCCTTTCACCCCTTTTCTGAGGTGTCTCAGATCAACTCATTTTGAGGCTGTCTCTTTTAATCTACACGAGGCGCTTCACACCCCGCCCCGCTCCAGACCGGTTTATTCTAGTTTGATAGAGGGGTTTATAACTGTACAGTGGCACAGAAACATTGTGTTCACAATTTAATTAAAAGATGTCAACTTGTCCATCCAGCCTCACATGAAGGAGCCAGAGAATGAAGACAATGAAATTACAAAAGGAAAGTCCAGAACTTATTTGGCAATTCTGTTGGAAATACTGTGACACAATAGTTAAAAACATCATAGAAAATAGAGAAAACTSAACAGGTAGAAAAATATGACCCAAACAGAATATAAACATATCTATGCAGCATCAGGAGAAACTAAATTAAACTTTTCTGCTCTCCTTCAGTTTCCAAGTACACAACWAAAATGTATCTATTGGCTAAATAAACAGATTTTGCACACGTCCCCTTTAAACCAGCAGTTGGATAGGTCACACATCACACATTTATAAGCATTACATTAATGTTTGGGAACTATTGAGTTATTTATTGCAAAATGTCTATGTTAAGTCTAACTATGGTTGTAAATTTTATGTTTGATYATGTCTATAAAGCAGCAAAACCCAACATGTTGTAAACAAAGTAATTTATTGTGACTCACAAAAACATCATAAATCCTCATTTCCTGCAACTTTGTTGTTTTACATTAAACTGAGCAGAAGTGTTTATGAGCAACAAACACCAAACCTGTCAAAGCCTGCATTTGGTAGTTTTGTGTCACCACAAGGGCTTTTGAACTCTACAATAAGTCAGTTTAACACTTAAAACATCATAGCATCCAGTCCGTCCTCCATAAACTTCTTATAAATGGCCATAAACTTGGCTGTGAACGCCTCCAGGTGGTAGATGGCTTTGCTGCCCAGCTGCAGTCTGTGTTCGTAGTACGCTGCCAGGTGAGCCACCTCCGTCTTCAGCTGTCCGTCGCAGTTATTCAGCAGCTCTTTCACCAGACTCTGTTAAGGCGATGAATCATGAACACGAGTAAATATATTTTAAAAACTGGCGACGGGGAGCTGAGGTAGAGAACCGCACCTTCATGATGATGTCAGGAGGGATGCAGTGAATCAGCAGCTCGTAGAGCCGGGCCCGGACCTCCAACAACCTGAAACAGCAGCAGGGAGGGGATGATTCTGTATTAAATATCTCACCGGCTGAACTTCCCCCGCTCCCTTTTCGTACCTCTGAGGGTTCTGCTGGCTGACGATGGCGTTAGCGGTGTCTCTCAGGTAGACCTCCCAGTCTGCCTCTGGCACATCCTGGTCAGCTGAGAACGGATACCTCGGAAAAATCAAAAAGGGTCGTCACAACTTTATAAGCAAATCTTGATATTTGTTAAACTACTGGAAGCTTCACAACTCACTGCTGCACTCTGCAGGCCTCGCACATCAAAAGGGCTTTGCGGAGGTTGCGTCCAGACTTCTCACTGATTTGTCGGGCCAGTTCTGGGGGCAGGAGCAGACCCTCCTTTTTACACACCGACGTTAGCACGCTGCAGACCTGGAAATGAACACGCATCAACTTCCCGAACTATGGAGAGCCGTTTCATTCAAAATACTATCAATAAATAAATAATGTAATTAAGTATTAATAAAAATTTCATCAAAATGTCCCCATGAAAAAAAAAAAACCAAAATCAATATATTATAATACATTTTTAGCATGCCTTTATATTTATTTATTTTGAATGAAACGGTTCTCCATACAGAACAAGCGCGTTTTAGACATTAAAGCCTCGAGTCGCCACCTCTCCTCCTCACCTCCTCCGTGCTCGGCAGAGGAACCCTGACGGCCAGACAGCGGCTCCTGATCGGCTCGATGACCTTGGAGGTGGACGTTGARCAGAGGATGATGCGGCAGGTAGACATGTACTTCTCCATTGTGCGACGCAGAGCATGCTGAGCATCTTTTGTGAGTCTGTCCACCTCTGTTAGGAGCACCACTGAGAGAGGACGACTGCTCATTATTGTATTGTTGTGAGAAACGTTTACTGGCATAAACAGAAACTAGTTTCTAAAAGTAAARTGACTGATCATAAAGAATAATTCAGACACCATACATACACTGAATAAACTGTTTTAACTCATGAGTCACGGTGGCACAAACAGACGTTTGCTCTACCTTTGAAGTCTCTCTGGGTGCTCGACTGGATTTGCTGGGACTGAGCCACAGTTTTAATCAGCTCTTGAATCACCACACGGTCCTGGGTTCCTGCATCGCTGCGCAATAAGAGCAGAAAACACCTTAAACCTCATAGCCTCTCGGACCAAAAAACATGTCATTAAATTAATAAAATATTAAACAAAAGAAAGAAATGTACGTAAACTAAAGTTTTAAACACATAAATTTGACAATATATTAAGGTTACCTTGGGTTGACCTCCAAGTGATAGTTGCTGGCTACTGTGTTTATCTCAATTTTCTTCTTTGATGGAGCCTGTTGTTAAAAAACACAAGCTGTTATGTAGTTAAAACCTTATTTATATATGAACTCAGATGAGAAAAGTACTGAACAATCATCATCCTGCATGTTTTAGCCTGTGCACCCCCCGATTTTTTATACTTAACATGAAAATAGTTTCTTATATCAATATTTATGATTAAATTCAACTAGGGCTGCCACAAACAATTATTTTTATAATCGATTAATCACCGATTATTTTTTTCGATTAGTCGACTAATCAGATCATACGTTAATTGAATATAAAACATAGAGCTTATGCCAGAATGCAGCTGCTATTATATAACCATGGTTAGATTTTAGCTATATGCTAACTAAAAACAATTGCTGTGGAAGGTAAGTTCTGCTCTGCAGATATTACACAGGTTTCTCTTTCATTTTCTTAAAAWGATCCCACACTTTGAGCTCTGTTGTCAGGTAGCCATGATACCAGAGCCTGTCTGTATAATGTCTTGTGACGTCCACGGCCTACCCCAGTTACCACTACTGTACATGTGTGTCAAGTAGGGCTGCCATGATTAATCGATGACTAAATAATCGATGACTAATTTAATAATCGATTAATCGTCTTCTTTTTTTGTTGTTGTTTTTTACTTTGTTTTTCTCTCCAAACTGCTTTGACACCTTCCACTGCCACATCTGCCTTTCTGTCCTTGACACACATGCACAGTAGTGGTAACTGGGGTAGGCCGTGGACGTCACAAGACATTATWCAGACAGGCTCTGGTATCATGGCTACCTGACAACGGAGCTCAAAGTTGGGATCATTTTAAGAAAATGAAAGAGAAACCTGTGTAATATCTGCAGAGCAGAACTTGTCTTCCACAGCAATTATTTTTAGTTAGCATATAGCTAAAATCTAACCATGGTTATATAATAGCAGCTGCATTCTGGCGCAATAAGCTCTGTTTTATATTCAATTAACGTATGATCTGATTAGTCGACTAATCGATAAAATAACCGGTGATTAATCGATTATAAAAGTAATCGTTTGTGGCAGCCCTGGTGTCAAGGACAGAAAGGCAGATGTGGCAGTGGAAGGTGTCAAAGCAGTTTGGAGAGAAAAACAAAGTAAAGAACAAAACAAAAACAAAACAAAAAAAACAGATTAATTGATTATTAAATTAGTAATCGATTATTTTAATAATCGATTAGTCGTCGATGCCCCTGGCTTTAAGTAACTGAGCARTTTAGTTGGATAGCACAGTGTTAATGTCTGAAAATGAGCTGCTTTAAAGTCAGCATCGACCATAAACTAAATCTGCCATAATATTACTCACAAGAAACTCATCAGTGAGTAAAACTTTATTAGTTTTACTTTTAATAATATTTCTGTATTTATTTCAGATTTAGTCAGTTAGTTCTTATCAGTTCTTATCTTTAAGTTCTGCAGAAGCTGGCATTTGTTTAATGGTGGTTCAGCACTGATCAGTGAGTTCTTTCAGCCTCTCACCACTACAGTTTGGTGCTCTATGCGGAGCTTCTCCACTCCTGGCCCATACAGCTCCTTCAGTAAACACATGATGCGGGTCTTCTTCCCCGCTCCTGATGGACCGTACACCAACAAGTGAGGGAAGTCGCCACATTGGACCTGAAACAAGGATTGGTTCACAATTTAAAAAAAAAAGGGAAAAAATTGAACCTACATTTCTGCTGGAGACAATCGTCTGAGACATTGTTTTCCTTTAGATTAAATATAAATGTACTGTTTAATATATTAATGTAATTACTGGCTTGAAGACTTAAAGTTTGAATCAGTAACACGAGAAGTTTGCGTTTGCTTATTTGTTTGTTAGCGCTGCTAGGCGCTAGCTTGGAAACAGAATTAGCATAAACAAAAGTATTTTTCTCACCAGGTTTTTCAGCTGAGTCGCTTGTTCCTTATGGAAGTCGAGCTTCCCGAGAGAAGTAGGTCGATATTTATCCAGCCACAAACTCATTATTATAAAAACAATTTAGTAAAGATCTATCGTCCGAGTTCAAAAACACAGCCAGTTCAGTCGCTGAACTCCCGCGAAACACATTCCAACCGCGCTRCTTCACTTCCGGCAACTACGGAAAGTCAAAGGGGTCAAAAACTCTACATACGCGTGTTAAAAATAAAACATCTAAATAAAATAAAAGCCTCTTCTTAGGGATGTTGTACGTTTTTTTTTTAACTTGTCAGCCCATAAACTTTAAAAACAGCAGTCAAAACTGTTCATTAAATAACTTCAAACCCCCTTTCACTTTGTTTCTATAATAAAATAGGAGTAAAAATCTGCTGGAAAAAAAAGGTTTTACTAATTAGGGGAAAAAATCAGTTATGAAGGGTTTAAAGGCTGCATTTGGACAGAATGATAAACATGTCTTTTATTATCGCAGCATTATTGTGCCATGATATGAAAGTAGACATTCTGATAGGAAACAGCTGCATCCTGTGTTGACCCAAAAGTGCAGTATAAGCAGGGCATTAAACTAAATAATTATTACAACAAAAACAACCAGGTGTGAGAAATTGCTCTTAAAGRCTGAGACAATTAAGCTTCTTGAAAACGTTTACTTAAATTTTAAAAAAACAGGCCTACCAAAAGCTAATTAAAAGTAGCAATGGGCTTACTAAAATAGAACGCTTAGTAAGCATTCCCACAAAATTCACAACACCAGCTAAAAGTAAAAATAAAATGCTAGCTAAAACCCAAATGTAGATGCTATTGAAGAGTAACCAGACACTATCTGATTGCTAAAATAAGAAAAAGGCAGAGTATGCAGAAGTAGCTATTTTTTAAATTACATAAAAACATTCAGTGAACAATAAGGTGACCTCTGTCATAATCACTGTAGTTTGACCTCTTTTATTTCAGCTAAACGTGCATCTAATTATCACCCAACTTAGGTTAATTGATTCATTTTTTGTATTTTCTTTTTATCTATTTATTTAAGGCACACCTTCTCTGCCACGTACTGCAGTGTCCTCCACACCCAACCTTGACTTAAAACCGGGAGACGTTTTGTTTGCAGGAAGTCCGTGAAGGGATTGTGGATGCAGGATAGCATCTTTTCCATGAAATACCACAAAGAAATGTGAGACGGTTAATCTGACGCTAAGCAACACGATGTGCATGCTTCAAGGTGTGAGGTATTCCAGTAAATCCTCCTAATCTAGAAGCAAGTTCATTTAGACTTACATTTCTTTTTTTTTCCATATTGTTCCTCACACTCCTAACAGAATAAAATCCAGGTTCTTAACTCCACATTTTCTGTCATGCAACTATCAAGTTAGAAGATAATTGGGATTATCTCACTGAAAATACAAGAACATTTGTTGCCAAAATAAGGATTTCAAACAGTATCAACATCACATATTTTTAAGGCAATACAGCTGACATAGAAACACATGAATGTCATACTGACGAGTTTTTAAAGCTACGCTTTATGCAATTTAAACTGAAGGAAGGCATACACCGCCATTAAGACCATAAAACAAACAAGCTGTTAACATCTTTGTCAAAACTTGATAATAACAATTTTTAATGCATAAAATATTGCAAAATGTCACGTTCAAATTGTGTGTTGAAGATGACTCTCAGCTACTGCCACATCAAAATTTAGCTCCATTTCTGCAAAACCGTTATTCAACGCCTTTGTCTTTCAAAAGCAGAAGACGTTTTTCTTGACTCGTTAAAAGCAGGGTGTTAAACCTGTCAGAGGTCATCGTGTGTTTCAGAATGACTGAGGTAAAATACGTCTGTGTGACAGGAATGTTCTATATGAGTCGTGCCTCAGCAGGTTGGTGGAGCTTACATCAACACATACTTGAATTATGTTCATGCAGATCAATCATCCTGATATTAAACACTAAAATCTCACCAAGTTATTTTAAACAAGACATGTTTGGGAGTCTAARACTTGGACAAATCTATAAGCGTACACGCGCTTCGTTCTGACAGAGTATTGGTGGAGATCCCTATTTAACTAGACATGGGTTTTTACGATGTGAAAACAAGTGTGCATTGCCTTGTAGCATGTCATTGCCTGCAGCAGTGGACTTGCAGAATGAACTGTGACCAAGTTTAAATGTGTTTTCTATACCAGCTTGTGCCTGTCAAGTCAGCAGGTGTTTGTAATAAGGGCAATTGTGTGACAATATGAAGTTTGTAGAGATTTTCTATTGAAGTATCTGGGTTTCGAACCCTGATCTCCCACATGAAAGCCCATGGCACTAACCATGAGACCATTAGAGCTGTGCTAGAGAATGAGGGCAGGGTTTAGTTTGTACATGTGCGGAAAGTGGCCACATTGCCAATATAATGGTTGTCACTAATTTGAAAAATATTACAACAGTAAAGCAATATTAGGACAACATTATAGTAAAACATCAAAATACAATCATATTAATATTGTAAACACTGAACTACTGAGTTGAAATATTAAACTATGGTGCAGTACCAAGTTGAGTACAGCATGGGCCAGTATTGGACCAATACAAGGCTCCATTGACTGCCATAATAATTTATTAAACAGTAATATTTCAAAAACTATAAGTTTTACAGGCACCAAAAGGCATAGCCATCATTTGGCACAGGGGCTTTACAGATATAAATTACAATGGCAGATCTAGGACAAAGTATGCAGGAGGAGAAGCATGCCAAAGTTGAGATGATTTGGATGGTAAACGAATCATAATAGTGTGCATTGCYWWRGCAATGCACACTGACTAGCAGATTGTTTCTCCTACAGAACAGGCCTCAACAAGAAAATCACCTTCATAAAATGTTACAAATTTCAGGCTATCACTGCAAACCGGAGACATTCCCTCTAAATGGGTCATGTTTTTCTTTTTTTTTTTCTGTCAAACTTAAGCAATGTGGAATAACTCAAGTTCACTGACTGCTTTCCTGCTAAGACAAAAAAAAATAATAAAAAAATAAAAAGCTTGGTTGATGTGGAAGAAGTCGACAGAGCGGGGAAGAACAATTTAAAGCATTACCTCATGTGTTGGCGAGGAATGTGTGTGTAAGGTGAAAAATCCATCGCCCTGAGCCACATCACGCAGCAGAGCAGGGGAAAGGTGGTTCGGGTCGGGGGTGGAGGTGGGGGGGCAGAACCCTTTTAACCTAAGAATCTTTTTTTTCTTTGTTATTGCTCAAAGGGGAAAGGGCGAAAATGTTTATGCCGAGTATTATCTGTAATGTTAGCAAATTATTCCATGAAACACTGATWGGATTTTAATAAAACTGGATGTGCGTCCCACAACGGATTAACTTTGGGAGTTAAGCCCAGAGGGTCGCAACAGATACGCAACCTCAGCAAACACAGACATGATGATAACTCAGTGACTTTTACAGCTTTAAAGCTAAAACCTGGTGTGGTAGTGACTGAGAGTCATCCCCAACAAGTACTCCAAGTGCTAACAGATCACACAAGTGTTAGAGAAGGCAAGCCTATGGTCAGGAGGTTGCAGGTTCAGATCTGTTATATTAGAAATGTGGCAAAAACACTCTAGGCAACTGGCAGCCCGCGGGCCAYATGTGGCCYGCAGGTGACTTCCCTCTGGCCCACCAATGAGTGTTTTTGTTGTTGTTGTTTCTATAATAATATTTTCCTTTACCACCTACACCCCATACATATTTATATAAATATTTGCAGCATCCTTGTCCCAGTTAGCWGTAGCAGCTAATYTAAATATATAATTCACWGATTTTTAMAATGGSTGAAAAAATWTTATTAAGCAAAATTAAAAACTACGTATTGTTGATTTAACCTCAAAAACATAGCTCAAGTTTCTCWTGTGGCCCCTGGAAAAAAGAYAATTGCCCACCCCTGCTCTAAGCCCTTTGCTGCCCCAATGGTTGTGTCAGCAAGGGCATAAATCTTAATGCAAGTTTGCTCACTGTGGCGACTCGTCATGGGGGGAGTAGAGAGGGGGTAAAATAAAAATAAAGGCAAACAGATTCTGTTTGTTCACAAACTTTGTGAGACTGTTTTTAATGGCATTTTCAGAAAGTTATTATTTTCCTCAGAGCCACATTTCTTACATTCTTCCAGCCCAAGCTGAGCCCCCTTCGCTTCTCCCACCTCTAACAAAGCCACATTAAATCTTTGTGTCTTTAAATCATGGATTTTCAAGGATTTACACTTTTCTTTTTTTCTTTTTCTTTTCTTTTCTTTTTCGTAATCTGTAGATAATTGTTGATTGAATTTTTTTTTGAGAAAAAGGGTCAGATATAATAAGAATTTTTCTTCTTCTGCTGCCATTCATTTAAATTGTGATTTGTATTTTTTTTGTTTGTAGTTGAATTTACGTTGTTTTTAAAGAAATGAATGAAATGATTAAACTAAACTAAACTTTATCAAAATAATAAAAGAATAAAGTGACAAACCTTTATTTGGAAAAAGGAAAACAAAAGACAAACTGAGTTTTAACTATCCACACGGGCGTGTTTTGGTGATTTTTATATTCAGACAATAAATTCGTATTTTCACAACCACTGAGTAGACGAGGTTATGGCCCCCCTTTGCTCTCTGACCCCCCACCCCCCATGTTGGGAACCACTGTTGGCCACAGGTTGGCTTTTTAACCTACACTAAAACGTCTGAAACTGGGATTTAAAAGTCATTTGGTGACACACATTCCTTCGAGGAACACTGGGCCTTTGATCTATTTTTGTTTAAGTGCAGCTTTTCAAGAAACTGAAATGCTTTTACAGCAGACACACACACACACATGCTCACACACACATTGCACTGACAGTTCAGACACCTGCCTGTGGACCTGCCTCCCTTCTCGCTGAGGTAATGTAGGAGGGAAACACATTCCTCAGCCCCCCTCTCCCCCACCCCAGCTCAGCGTTTCACATCTTTACCAAATAATCTCTGGATCCAAAGTGTGGCAGTGGTTCTGCTGGATCGTTGTTCTTCAGGCTGCAGGGTTCTGTCAAAAGTTCTGGTATGTCCACTTCTGATTTTAACGTCTTTATTTTTAAATAAACAATATTTCACCAGATGTTTTTACGAGCCTTCTCTCACACTTTTCAGTTTTGATTTCATTAATGACTGCAGCTATTTTTTTTTACGAGGAAACGTGTGTGTGTGTGTGTGTGTGTGTGTGTTTGCACACGTACGGCATGCAGCCCCCTCTTTTGTAAAGGATGTATGCTGAACACGTTATGATTATGTTTGAAGGGGCTTTTTTCACGTTTTTTGGCCTCKTTTTAAGACGTTTCACTGTGTGCATGACAGGAAAAGAAAACATAAAGCCGAGGAAAGGGTGTGCAGGCAGCAGCTATGAATAGCTGCACAGCAGGAAAAAACAATGTGTTTGAGAAAAAAAGTCTTTGTTTGGAAAAGCAGAAAGAAGGAAAGTGATCGCCAAGTAATCAGTTCTGTTCATTGTTTTTTAAAAAATGTTCTTAAAATATATATTTTAATAATTTTTTTAGGGTTTATTTAAGAAATATGTCACATTTTTAGACTTTTTGTTGCTCTGAATCTATTTTTTAGCTTATTTTCTTGGCGAAAAGGTTAAATGTTTGCTTACAATTTACTAAAACTAGGAAATTATTTTACAAAGCCTTCATTTGCTGCAGCTGAAAGGTGAAGATGGAGGATATTTTTGCCAGATGATCTTAAAACTCTGACGGAAAACTGAACAGATTTTGTGTTTAAGCTGTCACGACATTCTGGAGGATTTCAGTTCATCTCAGCAGAGTTCTGACTTTCTTAACGGCGTGGAATATATGAATCTCTTTGCGAATCCAGACTTGAACCTGCTGTTATTACATGCATATATTCTTTATAATGTGCACATGTGAGAACATGATTTGTTTAAAGTGATGGCTTTTTTTTCTCCCTCTTCTTTAGGCCTGCTCTCCTGCAGGTGGGAAGGGAGCTGGAGTGTCTGCGTGAGGTTTTTGTGGGTTTAATCTGATTCCCTTCATCAGACTCGGCTAAGATAAGAGGAGGTGGAGGAATGCTGGAGGGCCCGGTGCAGACCCGCTCTTAAACCCCAGCAGAGAGCCATGTCTGGCCCTGACTCCTGTGTGTCGTGCTCCACAATAAGCTTCTAGAGATGGACAGCTTGTCTCGTGAGTCTGACTTTCAGCAGAACGGACACTGCTGGAGTCCAGATGTGTCTCCTGGGACGGTTGTGGATTTTAAAGATGCTTTTGGAGTGACTATAAAACAGTGCGACCCTGCAGCACCTGAGCAGCACCTCGCAGCGAYGTCCTGCCCTGCGCCCGTGAGCCCATCAGAGGACGTGCTGAGGGTCGTGAAGCACAAACCCAGCGCCATCGTGTTCTGTGACTACGCCTGCAGCGCTGACAGCCAGGTGCTCAGTGTCAACGAGAGCTCTGATGGGGCCTCCTCCTCCTCCTCCACGTCTAAAGGAGAGGAGAGTGATTATGATGATGATGAATTTCCTGAGGCGTTACAATACAGGGAATTCCTGGTGAGTCGCCATCGTCGAAGCCTGAGCAGGAACAGAAAGTGCACGAGGAGGAGGCCGGATGTCCTGCTCCACGGCAGCAGCAAGAGCAAAGCTGAGTTCACAGGAAGCAGGGAGGAAGAGGAGGATCAGCAGGTAATTGAACCCAATCAGCTCCAGTTCTTAGCTGTTTCTGCTCCAGGTTTCCAGAGCTTCACAGCCACAAGTTTCACTCAAATGCTTTTCAAATGAAAAAAAACACCCAGAGAAATATATTTACTTAGGGTGAAAATGTTTGCATAAACGTTGCAGAAGAAGCTGAAAGTTGTTAAAGCTAACYGAGGCCTGTCCTGAATGAGCTCATGTGTTTTTATATAAAAATGGCTGCAAATATTTAATTGCAAAAGACAAACAAGAAACAAAAGAATAATTAAGTGAATTAAAAAAAGTATTAAATGTGTATGTGCTCACATTATATCCTGAAAACCAGAGCTTTATAG